CTTGAGCCGGTGAGATTTGAACCGCCAAACTGCAGCTTAGCAGTCAGCTGAAGTGGCTGCAGTACTGCACTCTAACCACTGCGCCACCTCGGCTCCTCGTGTTCTCTCTTAATGTGTTGAACTACAGCTCCCATCACATTCAGTTAACATAGTTTATTATGATAGGTATGGTCCAAACCAGCTAGAAGACCCCAGCATGGGGAAAGTGGGGTTAACAAGTTAGATTGGTTTATCTATTATGGTAAGCCAAAGTTTCTTTAACTATGGTTTATCAAATAAACCATAATTCGTTATGTTTATGCGACCCAGCAAAATGAGGAAACAAAAAAAATGACATTCTGGCAGTGGTGAAATTCTAATTTTTTCACTACCAGTTCTGTTCGTGTGGCTTGGTGGGCATGACAGGGGAAGGATACTGCAAAATCCCCATTCCCACCTTACTCTGGGGCCAGCCAAAGGTGGTATTTGCTGGTTCTCCAAATTACTCAAAGTTTTCGCTACCGGTTCTCCAGAACCTGTCGGAACTGCTGAATTTCACCCCTGAATTCTGGGTCAATATTTTATATGCCCAAGATTCTAATTAGATCTATGAAATTCACTAGATTATCTTAGGATAGTTTCTCTATCTCGCTCAGCCCAATTTTCTTCATTGGGCTATTGTAAAGAAGGAAAGCTACATGGGGTTTTTTTTGGAGGAAGAACAAAATAAAATGCCATGAATAATATGATATTAAATTATTCAGAGTCCAATGGATCTTACTCATACAGAAGTACACAATTCTTCTATGGATCCAACTTTACAGGATGGGTAATGAATACTCTTGCATCTCGATGTCATTGTGATACCTCTTTCCAATCTTGCTAAAGACTGGTATTTCCATTGCATCTCTGCCTTAGGCACAATTGGAGCATAGCGTCACTCGTGTAGAATACAATGAACGATTTTTATATAATACATCATTTTATTATTTGCAAACAAGAAGAGATGAAAAAGAATTATACGAATATTCATAACCCCTTTGACCTTTTTCTGGCAGTTGTATAAGAGACATGAGTTGTTAAAGCACACACCTTCTTTTAACTTTCTTTTAGAAACATGCCATATCTTATTTCCTACTTGCTTACCCTGGAAATCCTTAAGATTAAGGGTAAGATAGCTTTACTAACCTGTTTACGTGAAAATATTATCCTACCTGGATAATAAGCCCAATCAGGCTTTTGAGCGCATGCACTGAAATAAAATCTTCCCCCAAAACAAGCCCTCCCCAAAAATATTGCAACACAGCAGCAGGCATTAGGTGACCACGCTACACCTCAAAAATAATAAGTCTCCCCCCAAATAAGGCCAAGCTCTTATTTCGGGGGCCAAAAGAAAATAAGGCCCTGTCTTATTTTCAGGGAAATACAGTAAAGGGCAGCTGGTCTACTTAGCTAGAGAAGCTTCAAAATCTCTGTATAACCAAAATTCTGGATGGGTTGTTTTAATGGCACCATTTAAAACATAGGCCTGAGTCTATATTTTAAAAATAGAAACCACAATTATTAATAATAGTTTTATTACTGAGTTTCTCTGTTTTAACAACTCACCACTCTCCCCACTGAGCTCAATCAAGAGGGTGAAACAGAGACTAAGTGAGGCCAATTCAAAGCCACATTTTGCATCCCGCTGCAACTTCTAGGCGTAATCCTATGTAATAAGCATTGTAATGGACAAACTTTGTACATACTTTTATTTATCAAATGTATATGCCACTTGTCTCATAGTGTGAGGCAACATAAGGTTCTCTGAGCAACACTGCACATTTGAAAAGCAGCTAAAGTCCCATAAATGAACGCTTTCTCGCTTAACCATATTGACTTTTCAAAGATAAGAAAATGGCTATGTACAAACATCTTCAAACCTAAGCATTTTATAGATGTACCATAAAAAGGTTAGGTTTGAAGGTGTTTGTGTGTGGCCATTCTCTTCTTGTATTTGGAAAGTCAATGTAGTTAAGTGAGAACACGTTCATTTACAGAACTTTAGCTGCTTTTCAAATGTGCAGTGTTATTTAGAGAAACTTATGTTGCCTCACACTATGAGATAAATGGCGGGGCGGAGACCTGGGGTTCTCTGGGAGTTGTTCTGAGTTGGCAGGTGCGGTCCAATCACCCTAGTTCCTCAGTTCAGCATCCCCGGTATCGGAGCTGATTGATGTGCCTCCTCCAGATTCATCCGTCCTCTAGCTCCACTCAATATTACTTCAGCCTTGTGACGGCCACAATTCAGCCCACCAGCCAAGTCGGGTACCCAGCGTATTTGTGGGCACTTGTGAATGAGGAAAATTAATATGTAAACTCAATGTAACTGCTTAAAATAAAGCATTTCAATCCTCTATTAGAAACCATGTGCACTGGAAACCCATGAGGATTAGAAACAAGAAATGAAATTAAAATGGAAAAAAAAAATAAGGTTAGAAATTTCATATACAGTGAATCCTCAGTTTGCTTGATTTAAGCTGAGCAGACTTTGCATGGTTCGGTAGACCAATTTCTAGCGAAATTCCTGCAATGATGTTACTGTGCAAATCATGTAAATTATGCAAAAGGTATCATTAGCATTGGTCACAGTGGTTTTTTTTAATTTCCTGGACATCTTCATTATTTCATTCATCTGCTGAATTAGTCCACTGAAATACGTTTTCACAGTACATAATTTATGTTGTTACTGCAGCAATAGAACAATAACCAGATCCTATGCCTTTTTACCGTAAGAGAGACTATATGCAGGAGAAGATTATAATAAAATGATATCAACATTATACAATAGTGTCCCTCTATTGTGAAGATAAACTTTCTACAGTATTTACAAGAAACACACATAAATTAGAACTAGTGATGCAAACGTAACATGGAAAAAACACCATGTGACACGAATTATGGTGTGGATGTGCACTATTGCTGCAACTGAGAGCAGTTCTAACAGGTTAAGCCGTTTCTTGGGCAGTTATTTTATTTATTTGATTGATGGAGGTCCTGCTTTTCAAGACTTCAAGGTGGCTAGCAAAACCTGAAATGCCAAATAGAGTATAAAATGGGATATATATGTGATTTTTCAGAACATGTGGTAGAAATGACAGCTAAGAAGGGTTTAAGTCACAAAGCATTTTATTTTCTAAGAATGCTGGTCGAGTCAAGAGGCATACAGGGAACTCTATTCATGCTGGTTTCCCATTAACTTTCAATTTTTTAAAAATAAATTAGGTGGGGCAAGGTATTTATGTGTACAGTAAGGAACTTGTTAGGGGGAGCACAGTCTTCCCCCAGATACCACACAGGAAACTGACAATCAAGGATGCTACTATCTGTGCAGTAAATAGATGCTACTATATGTGCTGTAAATCTGGAGACTGTACACAAAGAACATTGCTGCTTGACCTGTGCTTCCCAGGTGCTCAGTGTTCACGCCCTGTTCCCAGTGTGCAGAAAAGCTACCATCCCTTTCCCAAGAGGAGGCAGAGAGCCAGGCAGGTCTTCTGGGCCCATCCCACTAGCCACAATCTGGAGGCGTGGTGCAAGGATGTCAACTTCCTCTTAGCGTTTCAGAACCTTCAGCTCCAACGCTGCCCCCCTGTTCCCTCTTCTTAAGCAGAGGGATGAGTCGCTGTAAAGAATACCTAAAGGGCTTTCTAGCCCAGGTGGAAGCTAAGGCGGGGCAGGAGAAAGGGCAGCTGGCTGAGGAATTCCAGGTGAGTGAGATCTATTTCTCTGGAAATGAAGAGCGGGGCCTAAGGGAAGCTGTGAAGTAACTTCATTCTACCCTGTGCTGTCTCTGTCAGTACCTATTTCCCTCTTTTTTTTTTTCTACAGCCAAAAGTTTCTCTTTGCGAGAAGCAAAGCAGCAGCAAAGCTGTTTGTTCACTTTTGTCTCTCTTTCTCCCAGTTTTCTAGTGCTCTGATTAGGTACCCAGCAAACAGAAATTCAACAGCTGCTCCTGGCTCTGTGCTTCTGTTCCAAGAAAAGACGCACATGTTGGGTTTTTGACTGACCTACAAAATGTATGCTTGCCTTCCCCCCCACCCCCAAATAGGAAAGAAAACAGAATGGTGGTGGGTGCGCAACTCACCTGGTAAATGCTTCTGTGGAACTGGGCAGCTGAAAAATGTCTTTTTGCTCATGTTTCAATGCACGCTTTATTGTATTGATGTGCTCTTGTGTGAACTCTAGCCTGATGTCTATCTTGCGAAGACTGTCGGGTCCTTTTGCCAAAGCTAATGGAAAAGGAAAGATGATCCCTCTACAACTGGCCAATAATTATTCTTGAGGTTAAGTGGCCAGGTGATGAATGCCAAGAGAGAAGGCCAGTCTATTGCAGCTCTTGGAGAGAGCCCATATATGTGTTTAATGATTTAACAACTGGGATATGTTTGCCCGTATCTCTCTTTTAAGAACTGTGTAGTAACCGGACTGTATCAAGCTCGGTTGATACAGCCCGGGCTTCATACATCCTGGTATCAAGGAGAGCAGTTGCTAAAAGTTTTTTTTTTAATGACATTAGTAGAAAGCAATGTCTCATTTGCTGTCAAAGTAAACCAACAATCAGATGTGGCAGGAATTTCTCATAAATTACAGTGTATTCGGTGTTATGAGGAAGGGGTGAGCCTATGCTAGAGCAGTGTTTCTTAAACATTTTGCTCCAGAACCGAAAAGAGCTTTTGTTTGTATGGGTTATATTTATTGATATTTAGTGTATTAAAATGAAGGTCAATGCATTCGTAGAATATTTATTGAATTATGTAAAAATAATGATATTAAGTCCATTGGATGCTAACATAAATGTCAGTATATACATTTCATGAAAAACCCTATCCTCTTTTAAATTTATTTATTATTTATTTATTTATTTA